CTCTCTCTCTCCCCCCCCCCTCTCTCTCTCTCTCTCTCTCTCTCTCTCTCTCTCTCTCTCTCTCTTCAACGCTCGAATATATATTTATCTCATTTTAAAATTTTAAGGGATTTCAAACAACGCGAGCAGACATATCTTGAAGCAGACTTGAAAAAACTTCTTAAGAAAAAGGAATTATTTTAAATGTACTTCTTCGTGAGAGAGAACATTGGAATACGTTCTTTATATATTTACAGATTTATATATTACAGAAAATAAGCTGGAGAATATCCACCTAGAGAATACAGGATATAGACGAGCGAGAAACTTACTAATAATTAAGCAAAGTTGTTGTGTCTGTATGAAAAAATATCTACGGACAAAAAACATTTGCGAGTCGTTCTGTCACGACTCGCTGTGCCAATCCGTTCCATCTTAAAATTTTGCACATATTTAATATAAATGTAAAGATTCCTCACTACAGACAGTGAGTTGCGAAGTTTTTGAAAACCTCGTTAAAAAAGTATGCATCCTGTACTTAATGTTTCAATCGTTAAAAAAAGTTAATGCGAGAACACGTAACGTTTACGAGAGAATAGTCCAGAGATTGCTGCGATGGCGAAGAATGTTGTCGGATGCTGGATCCAGTTGTATACCTTCATCGACAATTTTATAAACATTACATATAATAGCTCTCGATATGTCATTTTTCGAAGTGCGTGTATTGAGACATTTATATCATGGCATTCCATATGAAATTAGCCAATTAATTCGAATCGATGTGCTAGTATCTTTGTATTGTAGATTCGCGGAGCTTCTTTGCGCTTCGCTACAATAGAAAATCAATAGACAAGTTCTTCCTTTGTCGTTAGTTGAATTATAATAGTCTTCTTCATGATGTTCATATACTTCCAAAATGATTTTTAATTGTGAATTGAAAATCGCGTCTTTGAAGAACTAAATCGAATTAAATCGATGTAGCGAACATTCGCTTCGATGTCCGTTTTTCAGTTTATTGATTAATAAGATTTAGAAAGATGGGAAGAGCGGACAACGCTATTTAGCGATTTAAATGTAAGATGGAGTTTACGAAGCTTTCATTTTTATCGCTTTCATGTACGTTGTTAAACTCTGATGTATACGTTGTTGGACACGCATATGATATATCGATAAAATATTATAATTCTAAATGTCACACCGTGATATAATACATTATGATATAATATATTATGTAGACCAAAGAAATTATAAGAAACGCCACAAAGATCTTCCCGGTTTCACATTTCTTTTGGAATGTTTAAATGTTACTAATTTTTTTTTACAACATCGAGAAGAAATTATATATTTATTCCTTTCCAAAGATAATGAAATGCTTTTAATATCGAAATACAATCTCTATTAAAAACCTTAAATGACATATGTCTCATTGTTCGTATATAATTCTATTTACATTGCACGAAAAATCCATTCATCGTCAATCCAGAAAAAATTTTCCTTGGAATTTTTCTAAGCTCAATATTGATGTCAGCCTCTTCTCTTAAATGTTCTTTTATTTTTCATTAACGAGAACTGTCGAGGGTTCATTATCTGCGTGGCCATCATTTCTGAGATGTATGAGGGGAAATATCGTTTCTTGCGATCGAAGTGACGTTGATGTTGTACTTTTATAAACACATGCGTACTTGTATTTTATACCGATAGTGTATCACGGCGCGATAACGGAGATGTATCCGACGAAACGAGAACACGCACATATCGTGCGTTGTGATGTTCGGGATCGCGCAATTGTGACACGTAAGAAAACGCAGAGACGCTTCATCGACAATTATCTCGAAGAGCGACACGCTCATTTCATGTTGTACCAATGTTGTAGAAAAAGAAATAAAGTTACGATCCCATAAATCGTATGGACAGAGATATTGCCTTCTGTGTTTTTCAATACCTTTATAAGCACTGATTGAACAACGTTATTTTTTCCTTTGCTAGAATTATGTATTCCTTATCTTTGACTGGAATATTTTCTATGAAAATATTCTAGTTCAAGGTAAGTAAATGATACAGTTTTAACAGTTTCTATTAACTCATATTTTTGCATCAATACAAATATTGTAATATTTAAGAAAAACATTATTATTTTGAAAAATATTTAAAAATAATAATATATGTGCTACATTTCGAAAAGATTGTAGTTTATTATGCATTCATACTTGGACTCATAACGTCATTATATATATACAATATAATTTTTATTTCCAATTTTTTCTTTTCATTTCTACTAATATCAAACGCCAATTATATTTATGTATTCTTATAATAAACTATAAGTTGCGTATTATCTTCTAGAAATACTAAAATAGTTACTAATTAAAAAATAATAATGTAACGAAACAATATTATTATATTATTTTACATATCAGATTTTTTGGATGCGTTTCATTTAACATTTGCAACGTTTGCGAGTATCATTTCGTCTTTCTTGACAATTGTCATTGAATATTAAACAAGAAGATGATACATGCGAGCATTGCGAACTTTAAGCGGAACATATCCTTTGTAGCGATTTCTCTTTGTTTTTACTGATATTTCTTTCGTTTTTAATCTTTTAAAAATTTCTATAATTTCTTTATAATTTTTAATTTTTCAAAAAATTTTATATAATATAGGAATTAAAATATAGTCTCTATAAAACCTTTATAAATTCAATATTAATACAGCGATCATATAATTAAATGCGACTCCTCTGCTGGCATAGATAGGACGCGATCCGATAGATAGGACGCTCACAACGCTTAAAATCATTTTATACTTGTTGTTTGTCAAATGTTAAAGAACATTAACAAAAACAAATGATGCTCATGAGCGTTGTCAACATAAATCGGATCACGGCCATAGTGAGCGCATGCAAGCCGGACAAAGCTGTCATCTTGCTCGCGAGCGATTGAATGTGATGGGTTGGATCTATAAGTAATAACCAATCATATTCATTTGCTCGGCAAGCAGACTAGTCGCTTTGTCGACTTAAACGCGCCCAGTGGCATCTACCGGCTGGCATAGTTTGGCATGTAGTTTAGTATCACCGGTTAAACATAATCAACGAAGTCATTGCCGGTTATTACACACAATTTTTCATAATTTTTGTGAATATCTATCAGTGTACTCAGGTATTGGAAGGTTCTGTTACTATAATTAAAAATGAGTAAAGCACATCCACCAGAGCTTAAGAAGTGAAGTATATTTTTTTCATAAGCCGATGCGATCTCGCTATCGGTATTGTTATTTTTCACATTTTTTTTGTTTCATTATATTATATTTCCATATTAATGTTTCTGTACTTTTTTCAGATATATGGATAAAAGATTATCCCGTAAGTAACAATGCAAATATGTACTCTAAGTCAAAGTTATATTTCTAAGAGAAAGATTGAGATTATTTGAAAAATAAGTCTTACTGAAAGGTTAAGTTTGTTATAGTCTTATAGAATATTAAAAGATTTCTTTGGTGAAAAATAACTTCTTACATAAAGAAATATTTTCTGAATATTTTTTGTATTTTATAGAATAAACATGAATTTTGTTTTTGTAACATAAAATATTTGTAAGAAGACTAATTGCGAGCATATACAATTAAAATCATTTTGTAGTTTTATTATAAGACATGCAAGAAGTACTTTAGTATATGTAGAAAGTAATATAAATTCTTTATTTTAATTTTACTCAAAATATCTTGCAGTAAAATTGAATGGTGGCCGGCGTGTTGTTGGAATATTGAGAGGTTTTGATCCATTTATGAACATGGTCATAGATGAAAGTATAGAAGAATGCAAGGACGGTACTAAAAACAATATAGGAATGGTGGTAAGTTTTGTTGTGATTTTATATTTATTTTTATGAAAGCTGATTATATATATAAAATAGAATATTTTTGTATTATTATTTATCAGTATTTATTATTAGTATTTATCAATATTCTATATTTGTAGGTAATTCGTGGCAACAGCGTCATAATGTTAGAAGCTTTGGATCGAATATAATACATATTTTATTAGAACTTATGTCTATCTTATCTGTATCTTAAATAATTATATTTTTAAATAAATAATCGATTTTTTTGAGATATAATCAAGATGTTGGCAATATTGGTCTCTTTGATAATTCAAATAATGAATGAATTTTTTTATGTATTGTAAATGATTTCTTCGATGGCATTATAGCTCTTATTGAGTCTTGATCTTCTTAAAATAAACCGTTTTAATATGAACTTTAGTTTTTGTCTAATTTTATTATAGTTGCAATTTTTATGGTATCAAAATGTTTTAGTATTCAATTTATACTCTGGAAGATGAAGTTTTGTTTTTAAAATTTATTGTGTTTAGCTTTTAATCTGAAAGATGAGACAATATTACAATTCATTCATCTTAGGATTAAATTGTTTGGGATACTTTGTTTCTATTATAGTGGAATATTTTCCTAATCAAATTTCGTGTCATATATATGCAGTATCATTTATAGCTCTAGGAATCAAAGTATGTAAAATTGGTCGATAAAAATAAGAGATAGAACATGAAGACGATTTATATCTATTTCTATTTAACTATTCATAATATATTATAAAAAGAAAAGGATATTGGCCATCTTTACACTTCTTCTTTTATTTTTATTGATCATATTTGATATATGAATGGCACATATTCTTTTTATGTCTTTGCTAGAAAATATCATTCAAATCTCTTTTGTTTGACAAACGATTCTAGTAAACTGTAGGAAGTTATTTAGCATCCTTATCCATCCTATCATAAACGGTTTGAAGGAAAAATGACTTACACTTGATATACAAACACGAATGCTTTATTAACAATTTTTTATTACAAATGTAGGAGTGAAGATACACGAATTGTATATACTAATTTGATTTTTATTATACTTGTCAATACATTGAGAAAATAAATAAACTTATTTTATTGATCCTGACACAATTACAGTAAATATATCATCACAAATATAATTAATTAATTTAATTCTTCACAAAGTATATGATATTTTTTTCATAATCTTTATCAATCCTCTTCATATTATATTTTCTACTACATTGTAGTTTTTTATATGATAAAATTTATATTTTTTGTATCCTAGAAAATAATATTTCTATTTGAATAAAATAGATATCAATATACTAAAACCTAAAAAATAATTACATATCAGTCAGACCAAAAATGTTGTATTTCGTACATCATTTTGTTACATTAAATTTACAATTGTAAAGTAATCTTTATAAACAAACATGTCATTATATTAAAATACATAATTTAATATATTTCCTAATTTGAGATTTACTCAAAAACCATCTATTATAACAATAACAGACATGCGTTTCAAGCTATCTATACAGTGCAAACATATATTTAAAGAATTGATATTAAAGAAAAATTTAGAAAATAAATGCGGAATATATGCTTCAAAACAGATTTTATTTCTGTAGACGATTATCTACAAGTCTATAATAAAAGCATGACTATATTAAAAGAAATGTTTGATTTACAAGGCACTTAATATTTCATTGATTTTTCGCGTTCAGGAACATTACTTCCTATCCTCAACAAGTGATAGATGTTCTCGTAATAAAATATTTTATGACAATTGTATGATAATTATACCATCCTTTTATATTTCAGCAACAAGACAAAGCACAGCAGATCTTAAATATTTCACGATGTATGCATAATTTACATACAAACTTAAATTTATTATTTAAAATATTTCAAGTTATTTTTTTGTACTGTTTTGCTCTTATAGTAAATTGTTCTATAAAATAAAAAAAGATTTCACACACACACACACACACGCACGCACACACACACACACACACACACACACACACACACACACATATTTATGAGAAAGATTTACTAAATAAATCTTCAAAATATGTTATTTTTTTGTTTTTGAATATTTTATGAATATAATGCAAAGAATTTAATAAACATTATTTTTAAGAAAAAAAAAAAACAATAAAGTAGTACGAATATTTGTACATAAATCTATATCACAAATGTAACACGTAGCTTAGACTGTCTTTTGTATTATACCTTTTTAAATGCAAAAAAATGACAAAATAAAAACAAAAAGTATTTCGTATTGTTAATTATAATTCATTAATTTATAAATTGTAATTCATTAATTTATTGAAAAAATGTAGGCTTTATATGTATGGTATATAGTGATAATTTTTAATCTGCTGATATTTAAGGCTATTTCAAAATATAAATATATGTGTAGCCACTTTTACTCATATCTTATACATTACATACTTTATATTAAACTAACATATTTCTTACATACATAAACACGTACATTATTTCGTGTATCATATACATGTCAATGTTTAACATTGCAGCAGTCATTCGCATTTTCTATGCGGTGCTTTAACACACCAAAGTTTACGATTTGTATCTTGTAATTATGTGACAAGATTTTTGTATAGAAAACAAATCCTTAAGAAACTTCTTACTTGAAATTACAAGTTGCAGAATAAAATGTATAACTATACACATTTTAATTTTATTATTAAAATGTATCAAATAATAGTTTAGAGTAGAATATATAGAATATAGAATGGATACAATTATGATACAGAAAAAAAAATATTTTCGTGAGGAAAAACGTATCACAGTTAAATGCGATCTTATTTAAATAAAAGACTAATTATACACATTGTTACGTTAACTAAAGAAATTATAAATCTACGTAATTTTTCAATTTGTGTTATATATTAAAATTAAAAAATTTTTTGAAAGTGCATTCAATATAGGAGTGTAAAAAGAATAATTAAAATTTATAAATGAAATATTTTACTGTTCAAATAATAAAATTTTGTTATTCTAAAAGTTTAAATAATTCCACTGTTTAATATTTTTTAAATTTTACAAACATCGTGAAAAAGCTTAAAATATTTGAAATAAATCGTCAAAGCAATTTTTTGTAATTATATAATTTTTGTATTAATCTTTGCTAAAAATATTATTCTATTATTTTCTCTAATGTCAAATAAATTTTATCTTATAATTGTTAAACATTATTTACAATTATCTAAAAAATTTATTCGACGCAAGAGAAAACAGAACATTATTTTTAAGAAAAATTAATACAAAAATCATATAGCAATAAATTATAAATTATAAAAAATTGCTTTAATGATGACATTTTACACTGTTGGAAAAAATGTGTCGAATTTAACATAAATTCCACGTTCTAAACGATCCACTCAAATTTTTGGGTCAATTTAACATAAGATGAATATATTAGAAGATTATACAAATATTATGTAAGAAAATTAATACAAAAAATTAATATCAACACAGTTTGTAAACAAACCATGGAAGCATTTTTTCAGAGGATTAGCATTTATGATATATTAAATTAACACGTATTTCATTCATTCGTCTTAGAATTTACAACATTTTAAAACATATTATTTTTATGTTACTTATTCAACTCACTCATAAATTATGTCACTTTGACATTAAGAAACATTAAATATTCGATATCAATTTCATATAAATTTTTAAATAACATAATCACATTATGTTAAATTAACACTCGAATATGTTACAAAATTCAATACAAATTATTAACAAGAACATGAATGGATCGTTTTCAATACAAATACATAATTTTTTTTACTGTAGACATTCTAAACTTCTTCATGACATGAAAATACAAATTATATTTGTATAGATTTTATGTAATATATATACATATATTATAATTATATATGTATATAGATATGTAATTTATATTTTGTATTTAATACAGGAATGTAAATAAAAATTATTAATGTTTACCGGTAATTGCAACGATAATTATAACGATCGATATATTATTAATCTTATTAAAATAATTGCATTAAATTATCCCATAAAAGTAAAATTTAAAATATTACATTCGCGAAAAGAATAAATGGGCAATTCAAATTCGTTACGTTTTTATTTACACAGTAGTTAAAAGTGTAAATCAAGAAATATTTCCATCAACGAGCTTTACATTTCATTAGGCTACGCAACGAATTCAAAAGCACCAATCAACATTTCCATAAAAGAACTTTAAATTATTTTGTTCAAGTAAACTTCACTCATGTGCTATACAAGATACATCTTAACACTTTATATTTAATGTTTTTGGTTATGAGATAATTCCTTGGTTGCTTTTCCTACATCTTCCTTCCACACAAACTGTAATAAATTATATTTGGCGAAATATATTTATATCTCAAAATTAAAATAGATTATATGCTTCATCTCGATGTAATAGGAGATTCTTGCTTGAAATTTTCAGATTCAATTTTTTTCACGGAAACAAATGGATTAAACTCTTTTGTCTTTGCATTGCTATCTCTGTTAATTGCCGATAAATTTTTATTATTATGCTTCTCTTTATTATGCTGTTGTTTATTCTGACTATCGGATGTATCCTCGCATTTTATTCTTTTTACTTTCCTTTCGTATAAATTGTGAATTAACTTATGATTTACTTTATTTTCCAATTTTTTCAAAAGTTCCGATTTTTTTTGCTTTTTCGAATCTACTTTATTAAGTATACTACTTATCGCATGTGTTTGGATGTGGCTTTTGAAGGCAGCAAGAGACGTGCAAGTATAGTTGCACTTGTCACATGCAAGTTCTTTCTGATCGGTGTGTTGATTAGTTATGTGTTTTTTCATATCATAATTGTTACTGAAAGATTCATCACAAAAATTACAGAAGAAAAGTTTCTGACCTTTGTGCTTTGCGATATGCACCTTGAAATACCAATCAGTAGTGATATATTTCGAGCAATAGTCACAGAAAAAACTCTTCTTTTTTTTCTTTAATTTCGATTTATGTACTTTTGATATTGGAACGTGCATCAGAGACTTTGGAGCATTTACAGTGGTGGTACTGACAACAGCTGCAACAGTAGGTTGAACAGACGTTGAATTCGAAGTGGTCACCGGAGCGGTTTTTTCTGCAACAATGCAGAACTTAGGAATGCCTTGCGTGCGATGTAACAACGACGGCGGACTTATCAAATTGGCTATAGGTACCACGCGTATCGGCGTGAGGAACGTTTTAGGCTGAATTGCCGTGGTGTTTACTATGTGTGATGGTGATACACTTAAGTTGTTTATTGGCTGAACAGTAGTAGTTTGAGGTGAAACTGCGAGTTGAATACATGATTTGTTCGGAGGTACAATCGAAGTAGATGCAGAAGTGGTAATAACATTGGGAGCCGAAATCTGAGTTATAGCTGGAACTGAAACTGGAGTTGGAGCTAAACTTGGAGCTATAGTTAGGGTTAACGGAACTAAAGTTGAAGTTGAAGCTGAAGCTGAATTTGGAGCTAGAGTTATGGCTAGAGTTGGAACTGAAGTTGAAGTTGAAACTGTAGACGATGTTGAAGTTGGAACTAGAGCTAGAGTTAGAACTGGAGTTGTAGTTGAAACTGGAACTTGAGTTTGAGCTTTAGTTGGAATCGTAACAGAAGTAGATTCCAAATAGGAATTTTGTTGTAAATTTGGAAATCTTACTTGACCTATTGATTTTACATTGCTTTCTGAACATAACGTGTTGTTGGGAAAAATTATGGTGTTCTGTGATGAAACCGTGACAGACGCACTTCCAAAGGTATTCGCAGATTTAGTTATTTGCGAATTATTTATAATAGATTGAGCATTAGTGCTGGTCAATTGAGTGTTAGATACCAAAGTCATGCTGACACTTGGTTGACTAGGTGCTTTTTGCGGAATAATTATCAATTCTTCATTTTTCCACAGTGTCTCCATCACTTTGTTAGGATCCGAATAATCGCGTTTCTTCATCTTCGCAATTTCTAAAATCTGCAACTCTCGAATGCGCATCCGCTCCTTCAGTAAATGCAATCTGTCTACATCGTTATGAATATACACTTTCTTTCTCTTACAATTTCTGTGATGTATCCGAGATATCCATTTCTTAAATGTTCTTCCACAAATATCGCATGTATGTGAACTGTCACATTTATATAACTTTATTAATGCCCGACGACAACGATTATGATCAATGCTTAATGCATCACAATACTTATTCCTACAGTGTTTTTCAACCGGCGCATTTATCTCATTTTCTTCTATGCTCAATGCTAACATAGGCGACACACAATCTTTATCCACGTACTGCTGTACTGTCACATCACAAATAATATTTTCACATGGCTGATAATGACCACATGATTTCTTCTTAATAGGTAATAAAGCAATTTCCGACTTTTTGTGCTTTATTTTTGAAGGTAGAAGATTGGCATCTTCCTTTTCTTCGTCTATTGTCCCAACAGGGAATATTGATATTTCAGATGCTGTTGTATGGTTTGATGTTGAATTTATACCATTCCTTTTATACCAAAATGCATTGCCAGACTCAAGTGATGATAAAGGAATCGTCTTAATGATAAGGTCCGGTTGATTAAATAGCCGTTTCACAGAGTCTGATTGTAACACCTGCAAACAATAAAGCCCATAAGAGTGTTATAAACTTTTGTGTAATATACATACACATAACACACACACACACACACACACACACACACACGCGCGCGCGCGCGCGCGCGCACGCATAGATACAATAATTAAACAATTATTTTTTGTTATAAGCATTATTATTTGACATAGCAATCATTATTTTTTCAATTGCATAATAGTCAAGTAATACAACTCACTTCAGATAAAGTAGGTTTTATCATATTGTTCGGGCATACATTGGACATTATGTCTGTGGACGCGAACTTGGAGAGTGGTGAATATGCCAGTTTCACCATGTCAACAGGTATGAGTAATCAATGTAGGATTCTGTAATTCATAAAGTGACCTGGAAACGCGGCTTTGATCGCGATCAAATGGATGAATTTTCATGATTGCGGAGTACGATGCTTCATCCGTTCATTCACCGCGTAAACACAACACGAAGTGAATAAATCGGACTCAACTCGGTTGGGGAGGGTACAATTTCTAGGTTAGTCAGTTAATTCGGGTAATCAAAACCCGACTTACTCGACGCCGTATCCATAAATGCGAAGTTTTTGCGAGCCTACTCCTCCGAATTTTTTTTGAAAAGTATACTTACGAAATAGAAACTCGTCACGACTGTGTATGATTCAAAATCAGCGTCATAATTCGCGGCTTCGATTAAACAGCGGTAATCCGCATAGTGATATTAGTGATTCGCAATCCTGCTCATCTCATCCCGCGCACCATCGGCGGCAGTTGGCTGTTCGCAGTGTCGGCACCCGTTTCCCTTTTCTTTTCTCTCCCCCCAAAAACAGATTTTTTTTTTTTACGGAAACGCGTGCGCGTGCTTTGCGTCCATTGAATTCGTCCGCGCGAGCGCGAACGTAGACGGACGAAGCGCGCGATGTACAATTTCCCTTCATTCATAGGGATAGTATCCGCCGTGTGAATCGTGATCCCCATTCCCTAATCTCACTCGGCTGCAGCTGATGTATATTTCTCGTAGATTTTGACGAAGTTGATCGCGTTGATGACTTGACGACTTGATGTCAATGTACGCGTCATCAGCGCTTGCGTTGTCGCATTTTCGTTTTTGTTTATCTTTTTTTGCATACACGTAATAGATCCTCGACCAATATTACGTCACATTGCGTCAAATTACATTATTACGTTATGCTTACGTCATTGCCTTATGTTGTGTCTCGTGTTGCGTCATGACGTCATTTCGTTACGTCTTGCTGAGTGAATATATCAATTTATCACATGCTTCATATATGCATGCTCTCGTACTTTTGTATGATTCTTGCATGCTTTTCTTTCCGCTTCTTGATTCCTCACACAATAAAGTCTGAGAAACTGAAAATGACTCGGAAGAGTTAGAACGAAATAAATATGAATTTTGAAACTTCGCGATTCTTTATATTGCTTTTACTCTTGTATGATGCTCTCTTATTCTCGGAACAATAACATTATTTGATTATGAATAATTGATTTATGAATAAACATTACTTCAATGTTTATTCAATTATAATTAATTATTATCAAATAAGAAATTTCCTACTCAATAATAAAACTGTACGTACATATGTTATATTAATTTATATTGTTGAGTGGAAAATTATAATGTCGATGTAATATTAATTTCTACCCAAGTAACACATAAAGTCAAAAAATCAAAATGATTTTATTTCGATTCTTAACGTCAAAAAGCAGTCAAATTATACAATTAAAAACGATCATTTTGGCTTTCTCTTAGCTTGGTGTATTCCTTGAATTACTGTAAGTTATAAGTAATATAATAGAGCGAATATCAATGGTTGCTTTTTATCTAGACATAAATCAACATAAGTATTATAATTCTTTTACTCATGGAATATAAAGAAAGGTAGAACGATGTACGTATCGACTTGTGTCACTAAATGAACAGCATCCAGTGTATAAATCAGCTGTGTGGCTGCCTATTCCTGACAGTGCCAGGAGTATCTTGATTTTTTTTTTGCTCGTGTTGTCACACAAGTATAATAGTCATAATAATATAATTATAAGGATTCGGAAAAAAATCGTTTTATATATAATTATATACAATCTTCTTTCTAATTATTTTATATAAAATCATTTTTTCTCGGAGACATCATCATGATCTTATTTTTTATCTTTATCTTATTAGTTTATTTTTAAGTGACATTTGGCGTCCTATGATGTTATTATGATTTAATTATGACTATATTCTGGGTCTATCTGTGTTTAGCCGAATTAATCAACTCTTGTATATTTCTCCTTTTATGTAAGCGATTCAATTAATTTCTGCCACAATGCAGAAATGCAGAGGGTGGTTCAGGAAAATGTTTACTTGGAATAAAGACTTTATTGTAACATCATTAAGAGTTTTAATGTACACAATTATCGTAAATCGACGGCTAATTAATTATTGTAGTGCTTATCTCAGCAATGTTGTATTGTAGATAGGATGCTACTTATCTTTGGTACCGAATGTACAGTATGTATTGATGCCTGTTATTCTTTTTAGACGAAGTAAGACGAAGTGTTGTGACTTCGTAGACTGCGTTATATTTGAGCCAATTCATCAAATATTTGTATTGTACGGTCGCAATTAGTGCAACCATTCGTTGCATTGATATTCAACGACTGTGTTTAGCAGAGTATTTATTTTATAATTATTGGAAGTTCTCTTCGCCGAGTTAAGATTATTTCTCTAAATCTAAAAGTTTAATTTCCAATCAGTGTAAAGAAAATTTCCAACAATTGAAAAATAAATATTCTTGTGGCGAATATCTTTTTCTTTTCAACACATTTCAGTGGTATTTAATATTTTTTTTACTTTCTTTTTTTTAATACTCTTATGAATAATACTTATTCATTAATAACGAGCAGGAGTTGCTGAAGTAAACCTCCTCGTACACTGTACGCTAAATGAACATCTGATTGTCCTCGTATCGAAGCAACGCACACGACGTCTCGCAAGTAAAGAAACAAGCGGAGAAAGCAATGCACAATAACTGGTCAAAAAGCTTTATTGAACCTCTTTATTGAAACTTTTTGGGGATGAAACTTTCTGGACGCTCCACAAGTAGGAACTGTTACAAAATGGATAACGCTACGAATCAAAGTATCATACAGGATTCGTACAGGAGAATTCGCTGTGTGGAAGAAGAAAAAAGGAAACAATAAATGCACAAACGTAATTCGACGGACTTTATCAGTTCAATAAAACCTTTCCTTAACGTGCTTAATGCTAAACTCGACGTTCAAGAAGCTGCTTTCCTCTTTCTCGCGATCGTACGTATAATGCGCGTGAGTAACTTACGAATGTAACGAATGTAACTTATTCTTGGCGCGAAGATACATCGTACAAAACTTCTACCTACATCTTACAAACATATATTTACACAGGTATCAGTCAAATAAATAGTTTTAGTCTTTGCATCTAGAGCTGTCCTAGACGAAGCAAGCCTCTGATTTATGCAAGGGATAATGAGACAATAAAAGGTTGCGTGATGTTGCATGATCGAGGCGAGATATTTTAGCGGCCTTGTCTTTTGCCGTCGAGGGGATATCACCTTAATTCGATTCGCAGTGTTATATTACTAGCATGCGCTAACACCTAGACTCTCCTAACTAATAGCATTTCCATTTTGACTCCCATGGGATTTCGAAGGTACAATGCAACTTGATCTCTCATAAATATTTAATCTTTGGAAAGAAAAGAGACCTTCTTCCCCTATTAACGGAGCTACGTCGGATATGACTGTGATTTCCGATGGCTTTTTAGAAAACTTAACGGCTCGTTTTTTGTCAGTACGATTTATGTAATATGATATAAAATAATTTGGTCGCGTCTAAAATCTGCTAGCCATAACAATGTGGCATAATAGTGTTTCTGTGCATAATATTTCTTTATACATATATCACAGAGGTCAATTAATTCCGTACACGCCCATTCTAGTTTCAAGCGATGGTTTCGAAAATAACTGTCGCTTGCCTCGCAATGTCGCTTATAAAACGCTTAAGATAAATATTACGGTAATTATTGGCTTATATAGGTACGCTTGAACATCGGCAATGGATAGTCTCTACAAAAAATATGAGAATTTTTAAGTGTGGGCACTATTTACAATTTTTAATGTTGTGTCTCTTATGCAACGCAGCCGCATACAATCTATCTTTAATATTCCGACAAGAAATATATTTGCTTGTAAAATTAGCGTTTTATGGATCTTAGAGGAAAAGATCCTTGTACTATGTTTTTAACTTCCGTTTAAGATTTCTTAAATAAGAAGAAATATATCGCCCTCGCGTATTATCTACGTTTATACTCGTGCACTTTATGATGTACTCGTTTATCATGAACGCGTATATACGTTTATAATATACCATGCATTCTCCATCGAGAACGATTCAATGTGACGGACTAGAATGTTTCAAGTATAAATTTTCCTCTAACGCTTTTTCAATCCCGTCAAGCACATCCGAACATCGGAAAGATCGAGCTGCCACACGCATCTGGGTAATCGCTCATTTCCTCAATCCGCCACCGCCAACTTCCGTCGTTCGTGCCACCGATTTTTTACTATTCGCACTCGGTATAGTCCTCGCGATACCAGAACTGTTCTTATTAGTCTCGAACTTTTGCTGGAGCGATGCCACGTTAGATTTACCACTCGCCACTCTTTGTAGTGGATTCGTTCTCGCTGTTGTACCTCCATCTCCATTCTTGATTTCTGTTTTAGTGAACACCTTCGGTGTCAAATGCGATGGCTTAATACCGCCATTATTTGCCTCTTTGGCAGACGGCGATAGCGATTTAGCCACACTTGCGTTGCCAGTCGGAGATTTCTTTTTTTCCGAGAGACTTGTTTTGGATGTAATGTTGAGTGGTTTCAACGGCGTTGTGGGCGTTTTCTGACCAGTCCTCGGCAGCGTGAGAGTCTTTTGAACGGTTTTAAGCGAGAGATTGAACTTGGGATTGCTACCCACAACATCCGGCGACTTTGTTCCACCCTGATTAGAATTCGAGCAACTCGAAACCAGATCCGGGCTATTGAACTTTCCCAGATTATCCTTAGGACTACAAGGCACATTTTTGACAGATACGGTTGTGTGTGATTCTTCTTTATCTAAATCGCTACTTGACTTGCTCGCGTTTACTTGTGTTTGTCTCGCAATTGGACTCGCATCCGAGCTCTGTTTCATCATTGTCGAACTTGTGTCGAAAACTTTCGAGGATTTTAAGGATTTTAATGTATTATCTGAACTTGGTCTCGCGAGTTTTACGCTCGACTCGAGTATATCTTTGGAAGTCGGGCTTTTCGCGACATTCGGAGGCGTTTTAGTCCTACTCAATGGTGGTTTAGCCGGAATCTTGTTTTCAGTTTGGTCATCCTTCTTGATATGTATCAAATGAGATGGTCGAGTCTTCGTTGAAGCAAATGATTTATATCCTATAGGATTCTCAGGTGATTTATATCCTATAGGATTCTCAGGTGGCTTCATGCCAAGCTCCTTGGACAGCTCGTCGTTTATATTAGGATTATTAGATTTAAGAGTATTTAGATTACTATTATCGACTGATTTTAAGTTATCATTTGCATCCGAAATATTTTTGCTTGTCTCTATCTTCTCTACTTGTGGAACGTTTATCATGGATGGATGAAGATAACCGGAACTGGTGGTGGAACTCGAAGAATTAAATTTACTAGACGTTGAGTTTGAATAAATTCCACCGGGTATCTTG